CTGGGTTAATATTTTCATATATACTGCTCAAGAATATTGTTCCCAAGTGGAATATGCTCTCTGTCAAATGGCAGACTGTATTCTCTTATGGAGTATATAATTAACCTGCTGAAATTTAAATACTGTAGAGAACATAGCAGCATTACTTATGAAAGATCTCAGTGGTAGGCTGAGTAATAGGACAGGTTTCCTGTAATTTTGTAGTTGAAAATCTTTCACCAAGTTATAATTGTAGCTGGGTGGAATAAACTGGATATACCAGAGATAACTTTTAAAGGAACATCTGTTAACAACTCTGATTTGTACTTTTGTTTAAACCATTTATGTTTTTGTCGTTGTTGTTTGTCTTTTTGAGACAAGATTTCACTATTTAGTTCAGGCTGGTCTCAAACTTTGTAGCCCACACTGGCCTTGAACTCGCAGTGATCCTCCTGCCTCAGTTCCCCAAGTGCTGGGATTATACCACCACACTCGGCTAAATTATATTATTTTAACTTAGTATAAATAATTAGACATTAAATAAAGTTTGTTCATGAAATAATTAAATTATTTTAGGGACTGACCAATTGAAAAACTATATAATTTCACAAATTAGTGACTCATTTATATTAAACTTTTAAAAACTAAGTATAATCTAAAAATGTGAACTATAATAAATTGATATTTTATTTGGAGAAAATAAATTGATTTTTTATCATTGCCAAATTTTAAAACTTTCTGACATCAAATATTAAAATTCAAAGTTTAAATTTTATATGTTAAATAAAAAATGTTCTAGACTTAATTACACAGACTTGGTTCCTACTTTTTAACATAATTCTTTTTCCAAATCAAAATATTGATATCAATATCAATTCTGATGTTTCTAAGTGAATGAAACAAAAAAATTGCCATAATTTCTTTTCAAATTGTTCTTTACAGCAATTTTATAATTGTCATTATGCATACATTATTATGCACCTATATGAACCTCACATGGGAAAAAAATCCACAGTTCTTTTTCAAAAATTCCAAAGCTGTCTTTAAACAACTACTTGAAAGCTGACATTCAGCAAGGACAGTTAAGTTTCATGCTGAAAGATGGATCCTCTGATCACCAAGTCACCATGATAAAATGAAATTACCTGGTATTTTGCTGAATAATTCAACCAGAAATATGATACGTCATTTTCATATTCTTACTTTTTAGGTCTCTTATTACTGTAAAAATTTCAGAACTGAATTAAATCCATTTTAAAGTCAGTTTTGGGGCCCAAATATTTGACAGACTTATTTAAAGATGATACCAAACAAGGTGAATACCCATACTTAAAATTAGATTCTTTTAAATAGAATATGTAAATTGGTCAAAGTAAAAACTTTAAAAATTGAGATTGTGAGATTGATGCTGTGTGTTCTCCTTGATGGTGTATTTAGTAAAGGCAGGCATTTGCTGCTCCTGGTGTCAGGAGTGGGGATAAAGAGCAAATACTCGTTACCTCCATACCTCAGCCTGAAGGGGGTCTTTGCCGTCTGCACTTAGAGACTTCGTGGGGTTCTGACCCTAAATGGCCCTCCTCGGGCTGGGAGCTTGGAGACTTTTCCCTTAATCCTGACCGCACATCCTTTAATTCTAACAAGGCTGCCACTTAGAACACAATCAGCAATATTATCTTCTAATTCAGTAGAAAATTGCACGCTAAAAATGTCTGCTTCTTTGGATACAGAAATAGAAAACGGCTGACAAAGGGACGGCCGCGAAGGTCTGACTCATGGCAGGAAAGCAGCCTGGAGCCCCAGGAAGGCAGAGGACACATCGCTGCCCCAGCGCCGGGGGAGAGCTCCCCAAGTCCGGGCAGAATGGGTCCAGGGAAAGGGCTGCAGGGCACAGGAGGCCTCCAGAGGACACTTCGGAGGCAGAGGGGGAGAAGCTGTTGGCTGAGTGAATCTGGGCGTCAGGAGAGACAGGAGCTGACCATAACTCCCAGCTGATCCGAGTTACTGGGTACTGGGTCGCGTACTGGGCTTTGTTTAACCTCAGCAGTCAGCATCCTTACTACACACAGAGAGAAACAGCTATTCACGTGAGTCTAACGGGAACTTAGCAGACACACAGAAATTCTTTCCAAAAAGAGCTTCTCAGTTTGGACAACCCATGTGTCATTGACAGACACAGGTAGGACAACTCCAAAAGCAAAAAGCATTGGGGAAAAAAGCAAATACTGCTTTGAATGTAAACAACATCCACATATACAAAAAATCCACCATGTGGGGAAAAGAAGCAATATGGCAAATGTAATTTATCACTATACTTAGATTCTGTGGCCACAGGTACAATGTGTAAAACATCACTGCTCACTTAGTGTTATTTAGAAAGAAATATTTAACAGCAGCTCCCTGGGAGGCAGTATTTTAGACACTTGAAATGTACTGGGAGAATAGTCACAGTTGGCTCTCATCAGTGAGCGACTGACGAAAGCTAATAACTGAATGCTACAAACTACACAGCCTTTAAAGGTGATCATGAAAGGGCATCGCCCTGAGCTTGGCTCCTCTCTGGACCCCAACAGACCAGACCAAATCCACATAGTCACTCACAGTAAAGGCCACAAAGCCAAACTGAAACTGTAAGGGGAGAGTAGATCGATTTTCCGTTAAACAAAGGTCATAGTCTGCCTCAGGTGGCTTCGTAAGAAAGCTCCCCTGCCTGCCAAGTGTAGACACTCTGCAGTCCTAGGTATCTGGGAGGCTGAGGCTGGAGGATCACAAATTTGATTGCAACTTGGGCAGTTTAGGTGACCCTGTCTCAAAAATAAAATGCAATATAAAAAGACCTGAGGATGTAGTTCTGTGATTAGAGCCCTCTGGGATTCCGTCTCCAACACAAGAAAGGGCAGGGGAGGGAGAAAGGAAAAGAGGAGGAGCAGGAGACAGGGGGAGAGAGAGAGAGAGAGAGAGAGAGAGAGAGAGAGAGAGAGAGAGAGAGAGAGAGAGAAAGAGAGAGAGAGAAAGGGAGAAGGAGGAAGGGGAGGAAGAGGGAGGGAGAAGGAAGGGAGGAAGGAGAGATGCAGGGAGGAAGGGAGAGAAACACGAAGGACATGTCAGACCAAAGCTGCTTAGCTCATGGCACCAGGGAGCTGAATGAAAGAACAGGGACAGAAAGGAAGGGACAAGTGCCCCAGGTACCAGCCCAGGGCCGAGGGCTACAGGAGCATGGAGAAGCCGTGGGAACCGGCCCCTGTCCTCCCTCCTTGGCTGTGCTGGTGAAGCAGCATAGCTTTCAAGATTTTGCTTCTTGATGACAGTGTCCTTTCACAGCTTCCCTCGCTGATAGTCTTCATATAAATTTACAAGTGATTTTTCCGTTAAACATCATGCCTCTCAGCCAATGAGTGGTCAGGAAGATACAGCTGCTTTTAAGGCCTGGTACCTAGCAGCACCTCTGCTCAGACTATTCCTGGACTGAGTGAGGCAGACACGGAAGACACCCATGTAGTCTGGGAAGTATGGCTGAGTGGAGGACCTTGCTTGGGGTTGGGACCACTTTCCACAGGGTGACTACACGATTTCCGGAAGAAGACATTCAAGAGGTGTCATGACTTCAAAGGGTTTTCCAAGCATGAGGAAGTTGTAAAGATCACCGAATCTGTAGCTGTAGCTGCGATGACAAACAACTTTGCCCTGGGTGTGCAGGAGAAGGACCCTGAGGAGCTCTGGGGGAGGCCCTTAGCAACCGACTAGGGAGCCGCTGATGGAACAGAAAGGCTCGGCTGAACGGGGAGTAAGAGCCAACAAACTGCAGGGGAGGGAAGCAAAGGACCCACCTCACCGAATTCCCAGTAACCGATGTTGCAAAAGCTTCTGCAAACCTCACACATCTTAAAGTGTGAGAACGTGGACCCCATCCGTAGTGGTTTTCAGTTTACAGGGGAATGTTCCTGACACATTAGCCCTTAACAAGGAAATCTATGATGACAGAGGAAACAAACCAAGCAAACCTCCACAGACCTGTTTCTGAAAACACGTCCTCACAAAGCCCTGGGAGAGCTCTCAGGAGACTCGAGAAGGGGCATCACAGGAGAGGACGGCTACCCCCCCAAGAGCTCCCAGTGGGACATAACTTGAGCAGGAGACAGTGACACTGATGGTCCTGACCAGTAGGCCAATGCTGTGCTGTGCCTCAGTTTGACAAACAGGAACACCATAGCATAATCCCATGAGGTCCTCATAACCGCCCCAGTGAACAAGACAAGGATTTAATTCATTTAACAGAAAGTGCAATTAAGAAACATCTCCCAAATTCAGAGTTAGGTCTTTAGACAACATTTCTCATAAAAAGAATTCCATGAAGAGGAAAAAAACAAACCCAGTGTTCCTTCAACCCTTCAACTTTTTAGATTTCTAAAAATCTAAAAAGTATTCTTAGTTTTAAATTTACACAAAAATGGAACCTCATCTTCATTTCATGTGCAGGATTTAATTAGACTCCCTGCAGTGAACTCCTAAGCTTGTCCCGGGTGAGGGAGGGTGGGGTGTTCTACTTTAGATGTAGTGATGCCTCCATGTTCTTGGCTTTTCTGCATTGCTCTTTGTTCTTAGCTTTAAAAATACTGAAAACATATTTCTGAGTTACATAACTGTAGCGATGTTCTTGTTGGCATCCTCGTCTTCACGGAGCCAACACATATGGCATAAGGTATCCCCGTGTGTCTAAAGTGCTTGAGTCACAAGATGAACTCCAGCTTTTCAGCGTCTGAGGGGACCTGGGGAAGACCTGTGCAGCATCGAGTGACCGGGGGAGGAGTGGAGGAAGGCCCAGCTGTTCCGGGTCTTTAATGATGCAAACTGTTCAGTTGCGCCCTTACACAGCATCTACTCTGTTTAATTGCACCAACGTTGTACTAGCAGGTTCCTTTCTTTACCTCCCACACTGGGAAAGTGAAAGCAAAAGTGTAAATCCCAGTCTGCACATCTGAACATAACTAGGTGAATCCAATAAGGTCCTCAAGAGGCAGCTTTATTTAAAAATACTTCCAGATATCTGGGGGTACAATTGTTAAATCTGATTTGTCAAAAGATCTCAATCAAATTATCTGGTTACTTTTCAAAGGACCTCAAGTACCTTGCTTCCTTCCGTCTCTTCCTTCTTTTTCTCCTTCCTCCCTCCTCTTCTCCCTCCCTTCCTTTCTCTCCTGTTTTCCTTTCTTTCCTGTCTGGTAAAAGAACGCCATCTTGCAGCACTGATTACAGAAATAACTCGGGCTCTCTCCACACACTCTGCCTCTTCCCCTCTGTGTGACAGCGAGGACCCAGCTAGCAAGCCCTAACTAGACACAAGCCTGCGCGCTTGGCCTTCTCGGCTGTGGAACTGCAAGTCCAATAACCTGCTGTTCATTGTGAATTACCATTCTCAGCTACTAAGTGACTAAGAATGAAGGTGCTGCAGAAGACCGATGGCACACACAGCGAGTTGCTTAAACAACAGAAAGCACCGTCTCACTGCACTGGACGCTGGAAGCCCGGCCGAAGGTGTCACAGGCCTGGTTCCCTCGCAGAGATGTGACCAGTGAGGGCGGTGAAGGGGAAAAGCACAAAATAACATCGCAATAAAAGGTCCGTCACCGTGAATCTCCCTCAAAGCAGGCCCTCCTGCGGCTGGGGGTTTAGCTCAGTGGCAGAAGAGCCTGCCTGGCAAGCAGCAGGCCATAAGTTTGATCCCCAGTACAAAAGAGAGGGGGGACCTCCAGCTTTGCTTCAGAAGGGGCAACAGCAGTGGCACAGGGTGCCGGAAGCGAGGCAGGATTTTGAGGGAGTTTTAACTGCAATCTGTGTTTTACTGCGATGGTTTTCTTTCTAAGTATAAACACAAGGCTCCGCTGTATACCGGGCCTCTCTCCCAGCTCTGCGGTCTGCTGGCGGTCTGGCGTCTCTGGCTTCCTCTCCACATGCCCCTCATCACACGTGTCCGTGCATTAGGACACCGGTCAGGCCGCATCAGAGGCCGCCTCCCGACCTAACACCCTCTGCACTGACCCCTCTCCCAAGGAGGTCGCAGTCAGAGGTGCTGGAAGTTATGGCTTCGCTGTATAAATTTTGGCAAAACAGAATTCATCCCATAATGGGCAACTGGTGTAACGAACTCACAAAACAGAGCTCAAGCTACCGATAAAGAAATGAGCAAAGGTTACAGTAATATTTGAGTACAAAACTCTACAGGGAAATTAAATGAATGTGTAAATTTAGCTTAAAAATTGCCCCCTACATCCTTTGTCGTTCTTCTTTGTGAATCCTGTAAATAAGAACAGATTTGTATTGCTAGGAAACAGGAAGTAAAACCAAATCCCCATCATGGTCTAGTGGGATTTTACATGGCTAAAATGATTTCCTTAAAGAAAAAAGCTGTTTTTTCCAATTTATTAAAATTGGATTTCCTCCGATTTCCTCCCTAACAGGAATGATGCCAGACCTCCCTTCTGCCCTGAACTGCATCTAGAGTGCTTTGGTGAGAACCACACTCAGGAGTCCTGAGCTCGAACAGCAATGTCGCATGCCTACACAGTGCCTTCAAAACTCCACACTCATAACTTGAAGGAGCCATTTTTGCTCATCTACCCTCCCTCCCCATATAAATCTGAATAAATCATAACACGCCACACCTTGCATATGTTACAAAATGCTTCCCTCCCCTCAGGGATATCATCTAGACTGACACTGTTCCAACCCGAGCCCTCCCCACGGCCCGCGTTCGTGGCCGTTTTTCTGGCTCCCTTCGTCCTCCTAAGACGTGCTGCCCCTCCCCAGCTTCTTGCTCCTGCTCTGGGCCAGCTGCCACCTTCTCTTCCTGTGGCCGAACCTGTGCGCTGTAAGAGCTCCATCTCACCAGCTGCCCAGGTTCAGTGCAGTCTTCCCGTTACTCATCTTGGAATGTGGGTGATTTTCTTTTCGTGTAATTTTATTATCTCAAGTTTTAGGACGCAGTGTGCTGCATACATCTTCTAGGCCTCCTGCATGAACTTTCTAAATTGACTCTGCAAGGAAGAGAAGCAACATGGAAGCGATGGGCATATAAAATAATCTGATATTCATTTCTATAAAAATCAATTGTATTTTTCTAAACGTACATATATTAGTCATGTGATAAATGTATCGTTTTTGCATGTCTCCCTTTAGCATTAGCACCATTACAGCTCACAACATAGAGTTCTAAAGAAGCAGATTTGCATCTGCCCCCCCATGAGCTCCTGCCATTATCAGTCAATCAAAAATCAAGCTAAGCCCCTTGACATAATTGGAAGTTTCAAAGTGATTGGAAGAGCACACTTTCCTGTTACATATGTCAAAGCTCGATGAGGGAAACACCATGGGAACAGAAAGGTCAAGGGCTAATCCACTCCACAGTCATTAAAGATCACATTTAAATAGCTTCGGAAGCTTCAAGGTTTGGAAAGCTGTCATCAGGTTCCCCGCCAGAGCAAGGTGCCTGTAACGCGGCAGCTGCTCTCCCTGGGAAAGGAGGAACACACCTGCTTCCAGCGAGCCCAGAGGGATTTTTGGTTTTCAAAGTTCATTTCATCTTGCACATATTTATTTTAAACAAATCTAGTTCAATTTGGGGGCAGAAACTTTTTTTGTGTCATGGAGTTTGATAGTATAAGTGAGCCTCTTTGCATTGCATTGTAATACTATACACGTAAGACAAATCGTAGTAGTTTATACATCATCATTGTGGTAAATAGTGGAGGAAAAGCAGCCCGGGTTTATCCTGAGAAAATCACCACGCCCTCAACAGAGTGCATGGAGATAATTATCTTGAGAACTGAGGCCACGAGGTGAACAGATTTTGCCTCCAGATAAGATAACTGCATTTTGCTACTCCGTTTTGGCAGTGTAAGGCTATTTATTGCAGGCTGTAAACACCGATATTTAAAACACGCTACAGGTGTGCTATAATTAAAACAGCATCCAATGGACACATACACGTATGTATCCATAACTCCATAAATAAGTCAGTGGGGTGGAGCAGAGTGCACAAACCATTCTGAGTATGCATGTGTTTGTGTATTCACTGTGTAACAAATACTGTAGTAAGAAAACTGGTTTTACATTAAATCATTTCAGTGAAGCTACTGACACACCATAAACCTATGAAGCAATATCCACCCCGGAGAGGAGAAAGTGCCAACCTGGCCCAAACCCTCACCAGAGGAAGCAGTCTGTGAAGAGTTGCCAATGCCACCGCTTGGTGTGGTGGAGAGAGTCACCATCTGCAAAAGAGCTGCCCTGCACGTGCGGAAAGTTTGCAGAAATACTTTGGAAAGATACTTGTTGATTCTAATAAACTACAAAATACACAGTTTCCTAAATATAGGAGGACAAAGAGGGAGGTCACATCCTTTGCCCTAGAAATAAAGGCAAATAAGATCAGATTGCAATAGTATTTATCACATTATTTTGAGTAACAAATATTAGAAATAGCAGTGATGCTTATTGGAGATGCTGCATAAGTTATGTGATGCCCACGTTACCAGCTCTCCTGCTAATAAGTGAACCGGAGCCGTGAAACCAACCTGCAAAGCAGGTAATTACCAGGCAGGGAGTCGGTGAGACACAGCTGATTACTCTGTTTCATACAGTCAAGCCTGGGGATGGCACACACCCAGTGTATAGTCTACAGTCTACAGGGAAGTCCAGACTGAGGCTTAGGGTTTAGTTTAAGTGAAGTTGAGTATAGAAAGACCCAGACATCTGGAATGGTTTAACACTTTATATTGCTGCTGTGCTGACAGTCTGTTAAGTATTTGTTTTAGAGAAGAGAAAGACAGGAGTAAGTTATTCCCTGTGAGTATGCTGGTTTTTAAAGGGGGAAATAAACTCAAGTGCTAAAATAGTAACAGCGATTACGAGTCCTTCCCGAAATTCAGCGACACTGCTCCCTTCAGGAAAAGCGTTTCCTGCTCCCCACTAAGTTCTGACCAGGAGCTGAGCGGGGTGTAAGGAAGGCATGGGTCAGCCGCACCCCACTTCCTGCTGTCCCCTGACTGCTGAGGTCTCTGCCTACCTTAGGAAAATCTTCCTGGCATCAGGAGAATTCCAATCACACAGGACAATTCGTAATTGCTATGTAACCGTCGCACCTTCCCAAGGACAGTGTTCACACAAGGCTTGTCATTAGGTGCATATTCCAGACGGAAACCAACTTCATGGTTCTGACACAGGAAGTTGTGATTTTGTCACTTTCAGGATCACTAAGTAAGATACACTGATAACCAAACTCAGAGGAGCCGTAGGCTCTGTGGCTATAACTAAGGAAGTAAATATGTCAGACATGCTGGTGCACACCTGTGACCCCAGCATTAGGGAGCCTGAGGCAGGAGATCGCCCCAAGTTTGAGGCCATCCTGGTCTATGTAATGAATTTAGGGTCATCCTGAACTACAAAACGAGGCCCTGCCTCAAAAAACAAACCAAACAAAAACCTAAATAAAATGTTCCGGGTTGTATTGCACCGTCTTCCAAATGGTGTTGAAGGACACACACCAGCGTGCCTGTGTTGAGAGGAAGAGCTGTTACCGAGGTGCTAAGTCAACCAGGTAAGGAGTGTGGCTCCCAGCACAGTGTCCTTGTGGCCTGATGAGAACGGCGACTGGGGTACACATACACAGAGGCAGGCGAGAAGACCTCGCAATGGAGTGAAGTGGAGAGAGAAACCAGCCCACGCACCTTCGTCCTGGACCTCAGCCTGCCAACACAGGAAGCACCTCTGTCCTGGACCTCGGCCTACTGAACACAGGAACACAGTTCTGCTGCTGGAGCCACCCAGTCTGTGGTGATTTGTTACAGCAGCCTCAGTGGACGATTATCACACACACACAGGCACACAGTCACACAGGCAGCAGGCACACACCTGTGTGTACGTGTATCGTATATTTACTAGTGAATAATGGTAATGTTTGTACTACATGTGTCTACCTATTTGCACTTGCTATGTTGCTCTGTGTTTGATAAACACTCTAGATTCTAACTCTCACCCACGAGTTGTACATAACACTACATCACTTTACTTAGCAGAATGAAGGTTACATGGTGATCTGAGGTAGAAGTCCCTACTTCACCTAAGGACACAAAAGTATCTGAAATGGGGCTGTAAAGAGGCCAGCCATGCAGCATTGCTTTTTCTTAGCCTCTGTCCTGTTCTCCTCCCACATCTGCTGTGAGGACAGAGAATATCTGCTACAAATGATTGTAGATTGATGGCCCTAGAAAAATGGAAGCATGTACCAAGAGGTCAAGCCATGGAAGCAGCTGCTCCTGGATCGTGTTTTATTACTGTGGATTAGACTGGGGTGATGCAAAACCATTTAACATGGCCCTGGACCCCCGAGGAAAGTGGGAGCCTGCTCAAGTGTGCGGGAGTCAGCAGCACTAATAAGGAATCACAATGCTCTGGAAAACCTACTGGGAAGTCCTCACTGCTCGGAATCAGAAGAAAAAACTCACACTGAGGGACAGGATTTGCGACCAGGACGCCTGGCAGTTTGTTCTCCATAGAGAAGTAATTCTTAAAAAGTAGTGAGTTTATCCTGAACAAGGTTTTTAAAAAGGCACAGCAGACAGGAAAACTTTAGCACATGGAACTTGATTTCTCCAGATTGTGCATGCTCAGAGAGACCAATGTCACTCTCAAACATTGGTTATTGGCTGGATCTAAAAGCCTTAGCTACTGCAAGGATGTGTGGCCTTCTTGAGGCCCCCAGGACATGAACAGACACTCAGCACGCGCGCAGGTAAATTCCACAGGGTGGGGGCAGTGAAGGGACATGTGTCTAAGATCCCGCTGCTGTTGCTCTTTTGTGGTACGAGGTGCTCTGCCATTGAGCCACATGCTCAGACCTTTTTTACACAGTTATTTTATTTGCTTGCTTAATTTTGAGACAGAGTCTCTCCAGATTGCCCAGGACAGCCTAGAACTTGCAATCTTCCTGACTCAGCCTCCTGAGTAGCTGAAATTACAGTCATCACTACCATGCCCTGCTGCGTATAAAGGCTGACAAGTAAATGAAATGTTGAGATGCATTGCCACAGTTGAACTATAGCGTGGGGTATACAGACATTTAGTCTGAAAGACACGAGCTCTACCTGCTCTTGGTGCTCTTGGCCCCTTGGTGCATAAGCAAATTTCCCTACAACTCCAACACACGCAGGCCATCAGTTCCATCCTGGACTCTCCCAAGCTCTTTCTAAGTGTTTCTGGAATTTATGCAGCTCACAGTCTCTTGGTTCCTGTGCTGCTTGAATGCTTCCTCTCTTCTGTGAGTCTTTGTTCACCTCTGCGGTACCCCAAATGTGGAAGAGTCATTTCCCAAGATGTTACTCCCATACATAACAGCCACATCCTCACGTGTGCACCTGTGAATCTGGCAGGTTTTACTCCAAGTCTGGTAGGCGGGGTCACACAGTGCCGGGGACAGCAGCGACAGGACAGCAGGACCAGAACATATGAGCTCTTCCAGACTCCTGTGGGCCCGCACTGCAGGCTTGCCCTGCCTCCCACCATGCAGCCCTCAGCTTGGGACCTTCGCTGCCCTCTCCTTTGATAGGGGGTACTCAGCTCACACACACACACACACACACACACACACACACACACACACACATTCTCAGTCACACACAGAATTCCTTTCACACAGAAGCACTAGGAACTCTTTTCTGGAAACTTCTTGCAAATGACTTCCTGGCTGACGTCACTCGGGAGATTTTCACTCATGGTGACAGTTCCTACAGTCAGTGACGTGCTACATTTCTGAGTCATTTTAATATCACTGTCAGTTATGCTGTTACCTGCACGACCCTGAATTCTTCCCAGCCAAGAGTCTCTTCCACCAGCCCATCTCTGCTGCTTATTTCCAGTCCAGACCTAGTGACCACCAGCAGCTCTGACCCTTCAATGCTTTTGATTGTGATCATCTCAGCCTCTGACTATTGTAATCACAAATATCAAGTTCAGTCATCCAAGTATTGTAACTCTCTTT